AATGTCTATGCCACCATGGCATTGCCATGGTCACTTCGTCGTCTCGATGACTTGTGGAGAATTGTCCTCAGTTCTCACACCTCGTGATATAAAACCATATTGTTGAGAATGTGCAGATATATTCATTCGTAGCGAACGTGCGGGATGTTGAGTCTCGCGCTCCGTAAACTGCGTAAATCCTACCTACCCATTGTTCTCACCCAAAAGGTTCAAACTAATACCAAAAGATCAAGTAGAAGTTATCCGTCTTCACGTGGATGGTGGTAGTAAGGAATACTAGCAGAGAAATATGAGAGCTATAGTATTGGCGGGGACAGAAGGGTAAGGTATGTTTCAAGTCCTCTGGTACTCCTGAGAAGTCGGATTTCGCTTGAGATGTTGGGATGCAATCGTCGTTCTAATGACTAATCGAGTTTCATTGTAATAGTCGCTGTGATGCTCGTCGTTGTATTCATTGTTATAGTCGTTGTGATGGTCGTCGTTGTATTCATTGTTATAGTCGTTGTGATGCTCGTCGTTGTATTCATTGTTATGGTCGTTGTAATGCTCGTCGTTGTATTCATTGTTATAGTCGTTGTAATGCTCGTCGTTGTATTCATTGTTATAGTCGTTGTGATGCTCGTCGTTGTATTCATTCTTATGGTCGTTGTGATGGTCGTCGTTGTACTCATTGTAATTTCCACATTGTCACCCGCACATTTAGTTGACCATATGGACATTTTTCGCAGCCGAATAATCTTGTTCCCAAAGTGATGAGTTCAGGCAAGTTCATTGAGCATAGAGGATTCCGTGCAAACAGCCGGACCAGGCCGGACCGGATGTTTTTCATAGTCTCTTGGGCCCTCTCGGCTGTTTTTTGGTGATCAGAAAAAACAGCCAACGATAAATTTTTACTCACAGCAATGTGACCGTCCCCACCATATAATGGAGTTTCACCACCCGTTTTACGTGAAGTGGCGTAATACTCCAGGTGAAAAACGCGATATGAAGTGAATTAAAAACACTTTGCGAAGTAGACCAGCCGAAACGCCAACCAAAGGCTCACCGATGCGCTTTAGCATTTCTCTAAGAGATGGGTCCGGGGGGATGAGGTCAGACAGCTCGCTGAGAGCATGCGTTTCGTTGAAGTATCGTGCGATCTGACAACAACGAAAATCTAGCGGAGCGAAGCTCAACTTGATTTAGCGGTTTACTTCTGCTTTATCATTTTTCGCGATGTATCCCTCTTCGATGAGGCCCTTGATGCAGGTGCCGTATTGAGAATAGAGGGAATATCCACCAGAAGAGTCCAAACCAAAACTAAACAAGAGTAATCGAAAGGTCCCGGGTTCGAATCCCCCCAGCGACATCTTACTTTTGATATATGTACTTCCCTATTTTTCGCGTCAATAAACGTCCCACTTCACGTCGATCCTTCCAATACAAAGTGTCGTCGCAGTCTAGGAACAACACTGGTCTGATAATAACAATGATCATCAGAGAAAAGCAAGTAAGTGAATTAAGACTCTAATTCAATGGAGCTTCACCCTAGTGATATGAAAAACATATTTCACGACTACTGCAAAGTGTGATATCGCGCTTTTCACGGAGTTT